CATGGTAGCTTGTACTTTCTCCCAAGCAGAGTGCCCTTCCACAGTGTATGTCTTCACTTTGTTTGGAAACCCCAGGTGCTTAGTGAGTGACTGTCATGGAAGGTGGGAGTGTGAAATGAGGCTAAAACTTTGCTACATTCTCGAGATGCTATTAAGCTGCTTAGTGGAATTCAAGGTGCTAAAACTAGCATAAGAAGTCCAGTCTGGTTATCACTGAGGTAGTGAAGCTTTTTAAGCTTTGATCACTATAATGAACTTCTGAGGGGAAAATAATTTGTGTTCTGCTTTCCCATCTTTTAAAGGCAGTTTTCTGTGAGCCTGTAGAGAGAAGCATGGGCTGAGATGAGAGTACTTCTTGTCAGTCTGTTTCTATATATTTGATTTATGGATGGATTACGAAGTGTATGTGTGCATAGATATATTTAGATATATATATTAAGAAGGGAAGAGTTAATCTCATTAAAATATTGATAATTAATGTAAAAACAAAGATAAATATGCACTGTAGGATGCTGTTTAGGGGACTGACTGGTTTAACTTGATATTATTTATGCTTTTTTAGACTGATAACAAACACTTGAAATGTATACAGTTTGCTAACCAGCAGGGTAAAATACATGCAAGCTTTTAATACTTGCGGTCTTTTTCTAGTTCTACCATGTATTCATGACAATCAAGAAAATGGTATCACCTAGTAAATGAATGGCTTATTGAAAAATTTATGTTGATGGGAATATATTTAGTATTAAAATTCACTATTTTTAACAGTATTTCAAGTTATATTTGTTTATTAAAATTAGCTACAGTTGCACAGTCTAAACAGTTTTACTTCATGATTTTAGAACTAGTTGGTCTTCACTTGATACCTTATTTGCATTTATGGGCTGGAGGAAGACTGTGAGCTGAAGGCCACATAGTTCATATCAGTTAAGTTCCTAAGCTTAAAACCTGCCTCTGATGTTGTTAGTTCTGCTGTTCTCTACTACCTTCACTCAAGTGAACAACCAAGGTATAGCTCTCCTGGCAGTCCTCCCTCTTCCACTAGTTCAAGCTTTAAGACCCAGAAGGATCCTCTCCTAAGTCTTGTCTCTGCAGCTAGAGGTTTTTGGCACATATTCTAGGAGAGCACACCAGACTTTTCTGGCTTTCTAAAACCAGAGCAAAGTAACTCCTGAAATGAAGAAAATACTTGGATCAGGTTATTCAGTTGCCTGCCTCTCTGTTGGCACTTAGCACCTGGAAACAGTCGTGCCACACTTGCAGAAGCCTCCAACCAAGCAGACATTCCTTCACATCACAGTAGCAAAACTCTGATTTTTGGAAAAACTTGTGTTACTGTAATTTTATCCCTTGTGTAGGCCATTCTAACAAGTCAAATTACTTTTCATTAGGTTTAAGTTTGACCTGGTTTAGTACATGACTAAGTTGAATAATGTGTTTGCAGCTGTGGAAGCAGATGAACAAAAGAAGCAGGATCTATTTAGTACTGCCCACTAATATTTTACATCTCCTTTGTATCCTCTTGTATGCTCATGGTATGAGCCAACTGAGGTGTGGTTTTTCAAGCTCTAATGAGTAGGACAAGTTAGTATTGTGCTTTTACGGAATACACTCTGGTCAGTTCTTGCAGCTTTATTTCAAATTTTTTCAGTGTTTTGTAGCTAATTATCCTGTTTTTTTCCTTAAGGTCACTCTTCTCCTGAAAAAATACCTGTGTAATCCAGGTTTGGTCACAGAATGGTACTAGCAGTAAAAATTGGAAGTCTCCAATAGGCTTGTGTCAGCTAATGATATGTAAATTTTGCAGCTACCTCTTGGTCCAGAAAGTTTGATGTTCACTGTTTTATAACTATGGTACCTGAAAGTTTAAGTGAATCATAGTTAAGAATTTTTAGAATTGAATTTTCCAGAGCATTGTTTTATGTTCTCCTTCCACTTACTTTCATGATTGGAAGAAAAAAAAAGAACGAACTTACTGGTACACTGCCTGTAACTTTTGGAGAGTTGTGGTAAAGCAAACCTGTGCTGGGAAATGGAGTCTTTTGGAATATAGGAGTTAAGAGTAACGAAAGAATCAGTGGATCAAGATGCAGAGTCTAGATAAGATGCTTTTTCAGTAAGGAGTTGTAGGGGTTACAACTTCTAAATTTTGGCATTCATAGAATCTAGTCCCGTAAAAAGTGTAAGAGCTGTGCCTAGGTACTATTTGCAGATATTCTCTAAAAGCTGCTGGTTCTATAGTAAGAAACAAGTGCCCATGCAAATTATGAAAAACTCTGGTAAGGAGTACTGTCAGTTCAGTTGTGCAAATAATTTAATTATCCCTTTAAAGTCACTTCCCTTGTTATGGTATGCTAATGTATTTATTTTTATTTACTGTCAGAGTATGTAGTAAAACAGTTCAACTCCTAGCCTCTTCCATGCAGGGAAAAAAAACCTAAAGGTAAAAAAAATTTCAAAAACCTATTGCACCTAGACACATTATAAATTATACATAATGATGCCAGCTGAAATTGAAAGTCCAATTGTTCTAAATGTCATATGAACACAGACTGTGCCAGAAATTTGCACGCTAAAGAGGCAGAGCATGGGAAACAGGAACTTTTATTGCTCTTGTGTACAGATAAGAAACTAGGGAAAAGGGAGATTAAGGCTAGATTTTTATTTTTTCCACACTGACTAGATCTCTGTGCCCAGTTCAACACTCTGCTCAAAATTTAACAAAACCACTTTTTGTAGTCAGATACCTTAAATCTGACAAATTTTAGACTAGATATTAGGAAGGATTTCTTTCCAGAACAGGTTGTTAGGTGTTGGAATGGGCTACCCGGGGCAGTGGTGGTGTCCCCATCCCTGGAGGGGTTTAAGACTAGGGTTGATTTAGCGCTGAGGGATATGCTGTAGTTGGGAACTGTCAGTGGTTAGACTGGGTGATCTTCAGGGTCTTCTCCAAGCTATACAATTCTATGAAATCAGTGGTGGACTCTCAAAGTCTTGATTGATGTAGCTTTTCAGTGTGGTATAGAAAGCTGATTAGCAGAGTACTTGCAGAAATTGAATTCAGTAAAGGCAAGTAACTGAAGGAAGTATGTTTTTCAATGAATAGTAAGAAAAATGCAGTGAGGGGGAAGAAAACGGACAAAATTCTTAATGCTATCTGACATCAAGTCTTGAAGTTGGAAACAAGCTTCCATGAGATGCCAAAATAATGGCCCTCCAAAACACCCATTCTGTCTGTGGGGCTTTAAAACCTTTTATCTTTTTTGTGGACATGGAGAAGAGAAATAAACGCTAAAGATGAAATAGAAGATGGTTATATAGACGATTAAGTAGGTGTTGAGGTATATTAATTATGTGGTTTGGGTTCTGGGGAGGTTGTGGTGCTGGGATTTTAGGGAGGATGCATAAGGAAAAATAATTGGTTTAGCTTGATACTTCCTGTGGTAAAGGCCTGGCCTGTCATTTGTTTCTGTCTTAGTTTGAGATGCCAAAAACCATTAAACAGATCATTCAGCCTTTCTGAGAGGAAGAGGAGCCCTTTCATATCTGATCAGGAATATCCTTGTGTTATACTACTTCTACAAATAAGAACAACCTATTGTAGGTCATATGAAGTCTTGGAAAGCAAGTACTTTGGCTCATCTTCCTTACTCTGAACCTAAACTGTTTCTCAGTGCATCTCAAATTGTGAATTGCAATGGTTATGTAGTAACCTCTCTCAAAAGGAGAGTGGACCCTAGGGATACTTTCTTGCATGCAAATGATTAGAAGGAAGAAGATGGAGGCAATCTTGATATAATTGATTAGAAGTGATATACTTGAAAGATTTGTAATCAAACATATATGTGGTATGTACCAAACAGAACACTGATTTGCATTTCCTGTTTTACCTTTAATATGTGTAATCTGATTGCTAGCTAAATTATGCCTTTGATTAATGGGAAAGCAATCAAGATTATCATAACTCCCCTGAAAGAATTTCTCATGGACTTTTTCAAGATAAAAGACATGGATTAATTAAATGTATAACACTGGAATGATTTTCGTTCTAAAATTCTTGTTTCTGTGAAGTGATAGAACTTCCTGGCTAAATTGCTTATGCTGTCACAGTAGTGGAAGCAACATGATGGGAACAACCTAATATTTACTGTAAGCTTTCCCCAAATAATTCAGTACCCTAAAACTTGGCCATGTGTAGGTTACTCCTGTGCATGTGTCCTTAATGGCCATCGGGAGCAGTTTTGATGTGGCTGTCCTATAAAGGCATGGGATAAGTAGGATGAGAGACCTCTAAGACTCATTAGTCTCTAAGCCAAGGAGTGGAGCTTTAAAGGAATTTAACAAACTTAATCATACATTGTAGGCTTTTTTCACTAAAAGAAAACCTACATGATGTTTCTCTTAGCATTCGTTATAGCCCTACTGGAATTAATATGAAAAAGTAGTCCTTCATGGGCAGAAGTGGGTAGGAGAGCTATTAGGTACCCTGAATAACCATTGGTGTACTGTGTGTAAGTCTTTCAGTAGTCAGTATGCATTATACATGCTTTCTCAGAGGTAACTTTTTCTTTTATGAATTCCTGAAGGAAAGAAATGCAAACTTAAAAGGACATGTTCTGAAGGGTGATCTCTTACTTGTAGTTTGCTTGTAGCTTTCCTTTTATTGAATCACATTTGTCTTTGCTTTCTGTTCTCCTGAACTGTTTCTATCAGTGCTTGCTACAGTCAAAGCAGCATAAGTGATATTGGTATCAGAAAAGAATCTGTCAGCTTTATTTCCTGTCACTGTATTTTCATAATCTTTGAAGCGTTGACTCCTTGCTGAGAGAGCTTTAAATAAGGGCTTTGATATGATAACTCAAGTTCAATTAATGAACTCTAGTGTCCTGCAACTTGGGTGGTGTTCTGACTGCATCAGATAAAAATCATCAGTCTCTACACTCTAGAAGACCTGACTTTTTTAATACAGAAATTCTAATGACTTGGTATTTCTCATTTAGGTGCCATATGAAACACTGAACAAACGGTTTAGAGCTGCACAGAAGAACATTGATCGAGAGACTAGCCACGTTACAATGGTTGTGGCAGAGCTGGAGAAGACACTGAGCAGTTGTCCTGCTGTGGATTCAGTTGTTAGTCTCCTGGATGGAGTAGTTGAAAAACTCAGTGTTCTGAAACGAAAGGTAAGTGCTGTTCTACTTTGTGATTGCCTTGTCTTTACAAAGTTAACAGAAGTAGTTTTCTCCAATGCTGTTTGCTTGGATTTTCTTTTCAAAATATAGGTAATGCTGGCACTGTAAACAGAGGCCTTAATGTGCAACAAAACACAAAACTTAATGTATCTTGTGTCACTGGGCTTATGAAACATGATTTGGTGTTCCATGACTAAATGTAACAAACCTCTGTTGAGAGGTAAAATTAATACGTATTTATAGTCCTGAAAGGGAATTTCTCTACCCACAGAAAAGAAACAGTAGCAAAATTACTTGATTTGTATCAATTCCTGCTTGTCTAATGGAAATGTTTGTGCAATTGCATTAATTGATCACTTCAGCAAAAACAGGGAGAAGATGAGTCTGAAAGCTGTTTAAAACCTGGGGTGGGGGTAGTTCTATGCAGTGTTGAGGCTTCTTTGCAGAAGAAAGGGCGAGTTGTCCTCAATTGTTACTTGAATTATAAACAATAAACTTGAATTTTGGAAGGTTCCTAGGGCATATTATATTACTAAAATAATTTCAAAATAAGTTTAGCCAGATAACCTGCTTCTAGCTGTTAAGTTTGAACACTTGCCAGAAATAGTTGAACTTTCATGCCTTTACCACATCTTTCTAAAAAGAATGAGGTAAAAACAAAGTATATAGTATAAGCCATCCTTATTTTGGATGGGAATATTACTCATCCTGAGACTCATCAGAACACTTACTTGAAACAAATCTTGCAGAAAAATGAAAATAGCTTTGTTGCCTGGCTTTAGAACAGTACTTCTCCAAAAATAAATAGGTGAAACAAATGGTAGCAGAATCATTTCATTAAAACTTAAATGAAATAACCAACAGATATAAATCTTGAGACTATATTAAGTGAAGCATCAAAATACCTTGGAGGTTCATAACACGAAAATAACACTGTCATGTATGTTGATTTGGGGTTTTCTGCTTGAACAGGTTAGCTAGGTGTTGAAAAGCTGTTCTGCAAAAGACTTCATAAATCTAATTGCTGTTTTCATCTTCGGTTTGTGAGATTTAGAGGTCTTGAAGGATATGTTTTCTTCACTTCTCTGTTACTTACAGAATGAAATTACTGCTATTTCTGAAAGAGGTGTTAGATTTTACTTGTAGGTGTGTAGTAATGATGTGGAGGAGTAAGTTATTTACTTGTTAAATCTTTGCTGACTGCGGGGGTGTGTCTGAAGGCATTGCTGAATGTTTTGGGTTTGAGGCTCCATTTTAGTGTAATTGCTCATTTGTTTTTGACTGCCTGAAAGACTGTGGGGAATCTTACAGTCACTCAGAAAGAACAAAAGGCAAAAAATCTGTTTAACAGCGAAAGTTCTGAAATACAGAGGTCTTGTTTCTGCTCCAAACCCTCAACTCCAACTGTCTTCTCCATAATCTCTGCCCCGAGCAAAATGATTGTTTTCTTTAGGGCCTTTGGACCCATGTGGGATCTCTGTTTCCTCTTGTGTTTAGACAAGGATCTGATGAACTGCTGAGATGGCCCTAATTGAATTAGATGGTTCCTTTATTTAACACCTTACTCGATCTTTTAAAAAAGAGCTTTTCAACACAGCAGGTTTCTTGGGTTCTGAAAATGATCCTGGGGAAACCTAGGCCTTTGTGTTTTCCCTTTTGTATCCTGTTTAATATGCTTGTTCCCTCAAGTTCTATTGATGTCCAGCAGGGCAAGTCCAGATAGACTTGCTTCAGAGTGTTTTGAAAGGATCTGTAGCTTTTCTGAATGCACTAGAAGGATCAAAAAAACAGCGAGAGCTGTATTAGTGCAGATACAAAACCGTATAAGGACAGCCCTTTGGAATGAGAAGGGGCTCAACCTTTGTGCCTGGCTGCCTTAAATTCTCCTACTTGTGTTCAGAATAATTCTCAAGGTTGCCTTCATGTCTGATAATACTGCAGACATCTAACAAGTGAAAGGGAGGTTTGGCTTGAGTTAGTGTTTGCTTGCAGAATAAGAGACTCAGTTTGTAACTTAAAGTACGATATCCAAACCATATGTTACACAGTAAAGCTGAATTCAGTAATTAAGTAACTCAGACTTCAGTGAATTTTAGTAAAAGACAATCTTTTATAGTGGCTAGGGTTTTAAATACTTGAATTTGGTATCAAGGGCCAGAGTCAGCCTTAATTGGGACAAATGCTTGGTAGAATTTTCTTGCACAAGTTTGCATTTATTTCACTGCTTTTCAAATATTGATCTTTCCAGAAGTCCTCTGTAAATGAGTATGCATGTTAAAAGCAATTAGAACTAACCTGTGTTTCCAGAGCTGGAAATTATCCAGAGTATTATCCAAGGATGATACTGTAGCCTGAACAGGTTGAGTACTGGAAAGGTAGCTGTGCCAGCATGGAATGCAAAGGGGGCTGCCAAAAGCCAGCCAGGTTATTTGGTCTGTGTGTAGTTGGCAAACCTGCATGGACTTTCCTGTTGCCGTAGCTGTGCTGTTATTCAGACACATACCAGCAAGTTTAAAGTCACCACAAATAAGGCAACCCAACCCGAAATTGCATCATTAGTGATATATCACAGATGGGAAAGGTGCTGGGCCTCCATGGTCTTCTAGTTTGCTTTTACCTTAACAAGCACATAAAAGTACTGCAAGTTTTCTTGTGTTCTGTAGCCTGGCATGACCCACAGTTGTCATGTGCTCTATGCTGAGTCTGCTAGCTTTGAATTATGGTATGTCTGTAATAAAGCTGCCTGGTAAAACTTGCAGCCCAATTATCAGCCATATAACTTTAAGGTTGAAGGAGAGTACGACTTGAGTGTTTGGTTTTTGACTTTAAAAAAAAAAAAGTTCTGGAGATATTTTGGGTGTGTGTTTTGCACTGGGCTTGCCAATATGTTGGTTTAAAAAAAGTAATTCTGCTTCCTCTGGTCAAATTTATTTTCTTAAATAAGGCTCTTAATGGTAGAACCATGTTTCCAGAGTAGCAGAGGTAAGTAAAACAATACTAGTTTAACAAAACTGATAGTTTTTGGAAAAAATACTCTTGAAGATCCTTGAATTAAAGGTGCCAAGAGGCCAAATATTTATATAATTTTCATTGTTGCATGACTGATTAAAGTGACTCCAGTATATTAGAAGTAATGTGGGTTTACCTGACATCGCTTCTCAGTAGAGCTAATTCAGTAGGACAGCTGCTTGAGGAAGAAGCCGTGGCTAGGTTAGAGGTGGAAATTCCTGATTTTTCAACTGTTTGGACCACATGACTACAAAGCTTCACAAAATTCTTTGTAGACTATTACAAAAGTTGCTGCTGTACATGACACTGTTTCTGGTTTCAGACTAACTGCACATTAAGCAGAAAAATGCATATACTCATAATGTCAAGTAAGTTAAAACTTACATAGGAAAGTACCTCAGAACTGGACCAGTCATGGAAGCTTACACGCTGCCATAGGAAATGCCTTTCAAAATGCAAGAAGGGATATTGGCAGTAATTGTATAATATGTAAAGAATGTTTACAAACAATTCTTACTGTATTTTGCTTTAAAAGCAAATTGAAAAGGTATAGCTCCTATTTATTCCTGTTAACTTTTACTTTTTAGGCAGTTGAATCAATCCAGGCTGAAGATGAAAGTGCAAAACTCTGCAAACGTAGGATTGAACATCTGAAAGAACATAGTAGTGACCAGCCAGCTGCTGCAAACATGTGGAAGAAGAAACGTATGGATCGTATGATGGTGGAACATCTTTTACGCTGTGGCTACTACAATACAGCTGTAAAATTAGCGAGACAAAGTGGTATTGAGGTTGGTAGCAATGCGCACTAGTCACTAACAGAATGGTAGTAAAGAGGAAGTTGGCAAATCAGAACAAGCTGCTTTAGCCCTGTAGCAGCTATTTTTGTGTATTAAAGTGCCTTTATTACTAATGTTTATCTGTTAATCTTTTTAGGTCTGTTTGTTCTCCTTACTTGACATAAATTGTATTTTTATGTCTTAATGCAAAACTGAAGGCATATCTTTTAGTCACAAATCAAATGCTTTTAGATAAACACCTTGCCCTATTAAAACTTTAAATAATTCTCAAATGTCATATGGAATTGCTTGTTACAGGCCTTTCTAGGCTGCTGATGAAGCAGTTGGTGGAGCTTTCCATCTGTCTAGCCACACTTATATGATATGTGTAGGTGACCAGACTGAGCAGAGCAGCATATGCTGATTCCAGGAGCAACTGTTCTATTGTATCATCCTATTTAATGCATCAAGAGGAAAACTGGCTTATACTTTTGAAAATAAATCTTAATGCAGTTTGGTTTTCTAGTAGCCAGTATATCTTGGATGATCCACTGAAACTTCTTGCTGTTTTGCTTACTTTGCCATTTACCATTCCATGGTTGTCACTTTTCACTTGGTTATCTAGTTGGTTTTGTTTCTGAAGTGTTTGGAGCTTGTGCACCCTCTTTATGCAGAGCAGTGAATCCACACTGTGGTCTTCTGACAGCCACAAGGACATTAAAACAGAATCTTTAAGGATTTGCTGTTTATTTAAAGAAATCATGTTTTTCTAGATTTAGGTAGCATTTGCTATTTGATTCTCAGTGATTGTTGAATCTGAAGTTCTTGAGATTTCCAATTCCAGAAGGTATTCAACCCTTCTTGGTTAAAATCTTTCTCCTATAAAATGCTGAGAGTTCAGTTGTATTATGTGGCTTAGGTACTTTGCCTGTCTTAGGTGACAGAGCTGAACGCATCTCTTCGAGCTAGTTGAGGGGAAGAGATTTTTGTTACTGGTGTCAGATTACAGCATGTGCATCTCTTCTTTGTCTTGTACAATTAGCGTATCTGTCACATGTCTCTGTTCGTCCTTGGCTGCTTTACCAGTCTGACCCTGTTCAACCAGCAGTGAATTTAGTAAATACCAAAAAGGAAAGAGCAAGTAAGGGTTGAATGGAAGGGAGAGGGTAAGTGGGTTACAAACTATTAATAGGAAATAGTACTGGAGAAATTCACTGAAGAAGCTGCTATGCCTCACTAAAAAAACAATTATTCTGGGATAATTGCAGCTGAATAGTCAGCAGCTCTTCTACTTTTGGTAGATGTTTCCCTCTGTTTTGAGCAGGAGCTCATCTCCTGCTGAATCATCATGTTACTGTACCTACTAGGTCTGCTGAAAAAGCACTGTGGAAATATTTTCGGTTTTATAGCAAGTTCTATTATGCCTGATTAAGTAATGCTCAGCTTTCATTTAGACATGAACATGGAAGTCTGTCATGATACACTGCAAGACTGTATGGTACAAGGCATTGCAATTGTGAAGCTTTAAAGCTTTTCATTCTGTTTGCTGAATAGAAACTTTTGTGGTTTTTCAAAAAAGTTTTAAATAAGCTTATTGAACTTCTGCCTTCAAGCCTAAATATTTTTATTTGCATAACATCAAAGTAACTTGAATAACACAGAACTTAGTTGCACATGTTGAATGTGCTGAGGCTATATTTCTTCTAGTTTGCTAAAATTATGCTTTTTACTCAATATTGAAGTTCACATTTTGGCTAATTGAGCATAGTGTCCCTCAGCCTCTTAACATTGTACACTTTCTTACTGTATGGTGATATGCATCCTGAACGGCTTTTAAAATGGTAAGATACTGAGACTTGATCATTATACAGAATTTGTAGGTTTGCTGGTTTAAGATAACTTGTCTGTTTCTTTCAGCAAGAAAGGAACAAAAAGATAGGAGCATTGAAATGTTCTCAAGTCCTTAATGTAACATTACTGTAGAGATTTACAACATAGCATGGTATTCTTCTCATACAAAGTAATCTTTGTTTACTGTAGTCTGAACTCTTAATTTTGATGTTTCCACCCCTGCAGGGTTCAGAAGCACATTGCTGTATAGTGAATGTTATAATGTCTATTACCTATTATTTTTTTAATATATACTGAGATAATAGTGTTACCACTGGGTAGGCACTATACCCTAAGAAAGAACCTGAAAAAAGGGGGGTATTGCTCAACTTGTCCACCAGTCAGCGGTGAGACTGGAAGACAAGTTGAGCATGACCCAGCAATGTGCTCTTGTGGTAAAGACGACCCAACAGTGCTCTCAGTTGCACAGGGATGAACATCAGAAGCAGGGGAAGGGTGGGGATCTAGCCCCTCTGGTCAGCACTGGTTAGTTAGACCCATCTGGAATGCTTTGTCTAGCTCCCCAGCAGACACACTGGGGAGTGGAATCTCCCTGGAATTTGAAATGTTCAAACCCAGATTGGACTGGGCAGGTTCCTAAGTAGCCTGTTGTAAATGACCCTGCTTTGAGCAAGGAGGCTACACGAGGTTCAAATCTGAACCATTCTGTGATTGTTTCTATGATTGCAGGCCAAATGGCTAAAAGTGCCCTTCGCCACTATTTGTAAAGGCCGAAGGAAGTGGCTCTTTCCATTTCAGCTGTAGCTTGTGGATCCTAGATTAAGCATCTTTCAGTAGCTGTTAGACCAGTCTTGAGAGCAAGTCTCAACCTGCTTGTTTAAAGTTCCTCACATAACTCCTGAATGCCAAGAGACCTGCAGAGCTGTGCAAGTACTTCATCAGTGGAAACACTTTTGGAAGCGTTCTGTTTCAGTGACCAAAAGCATTAAATCATTCATCTGTTTACCAATAAAACACAGCATACAGTTTGCTCAGGATGACTATGCACCATAGTGTCCAGTTCTAACAATTATTGATGGGCTGTGTCAAATTCTAGTCTGCTTTCTAAATTAGCTACCTTCATAGGAATTATAATATTCTTGAATCCTTTTCATGGAAGATAAGCACTTAAAAGTTGTGGATATAAACTAGGAAGCAACCAGCTATTGAAAGACATGCTGGATGCGATAAATTATAGGGAATGTTAAATATTAGTTATAAACTCAAGTTAGGAATAACTGCTGGCATGTGGCATATATAAAGCATGATGTTATATGTCAGTATAAGAAATAAACGGCAAACATATAATGTGTATGATATGTCTTTAAAGAAAAGTAATGTTGCTTGGGAAAGTAAACCAAAATGGGAGTAATATTAAAGTAAGAGCTGACAGTCAAGGACAGAAATGTCATGTTTGTGCCAAAGTAAATATGGGGGGGAGGGGATTCTATTGTGGACTTTTTTTCTTGATGTCTTCTGGCTCTCTTAATGATGTGAAAAACAGTTTGGGTTGAAGATATAAACTAGATGTTAAGTTTTTGTTATTGCATACAAATGAAGCTCATCAGTATCAGCTTGTTACACTTAATAATGATCTTATTTTGACTCGATTATGACCTTGGAATGCAACACCTATATAGAAAAATGTTTCTTTTCATCTGCAGATTCATATATTCAGCTAGCTGGCAGGGTTGTCTGTCAACTTAAAACTTGCTATTCCATGTTCTGCTGCATTAAATGCTGTCACATTTCTGTGCCAACAATTGATAGGCAAATCTAGTTTTGGAAATGTGGTATTTCAGTAGGAAGTTAGTTGCTGTTTGTAGGTAAGTTTTATAATTAGGTTAAGTATGTAGAGCTTTGTTTGCTGGTTGTTTTTCTTAAATTTCATGCTTTTCCTAGCCCCTTTTTCTAGGAAGAAAAAACATGTAAGTGTCCTTACGTTCTTTGCTTAATTCTGTAATAGCCGTAGTGACTTTTGCCTAAATTGTTGAAAACAAACCCATCTTCTGAAGATGCCAATCTCTCTTGCAGGGTGTAAATCCTCTTTCTTTCTTTGCTTATACATTATTTTACTAAAATAAACTGTCCTTGCCTTAATGCTCATGCTGTACAGAAGTTGTATAAGTGGCAATGTTTTTTTCTGTGAAGCATAGTGTAAATTCAAAACAAGTGTCTGTGTGTTAGAGCAGAGAGCAAGTGATTTAGAAATCTATAAAGGACTGAGGGACAGAAGAACTACTATACCCCTGAGGAGGGTGGGCAGTAGCACTGTAAGGTTGCAGGTATAAGAGAATGCTTGAGTTGAAATAACTCTTAAATAGCTTAAAAGTAGTTAACTTAACCTTGCATCATGGATTACACATGCCAGAGTTTTGCAAATTAATGTTCTTAGATCAGTAATTATGTAGGTGCATCATCCTTCAGAGATACTTACCTAGCCATCTGCATTAATACCACAGTGTGCTTTTTGCTTTTGAGAGTTGTGGGGAAAAAATTTCAGTATTTCATTGACTTGAAAAGTTTTGTCTAAGCATATGATCGTTGTAAACATTGAGCAGTACTAGAAGGGCTGCTTGATACTTCAAACAGTATTAAGCCAGTTGACAACAGTCCTAAAAAGATAGGTTTCCTTGAAGTGGAAATTCAGATCTTCAGTTTTTGTTAGTGTTTTCTTTCTTGAGCAGAACTGCTAAATCTGTAGTTTATTTGTAATGTATTTTTAATTATTTAATTATCTGTAGTAAACAGGTAACAGTTGTTCCCTGGAGAATATCAAAACAGGGCAAATACTGCAAAGCCATTTTGAAAATATTACATTATATTTTTAACTGGTACAGTAAATCTATTTTTTTAAATAAATTTTGAGTAGTATAAATGCGAGTAATAGTAGTCACTGAAAAAGATTAATATCCTCAGTGTTCCCCTCTCTCCAGTTGGGCTCAATTTTCCTTTTTCCTACTGCATAGTCACAGCTTCAGTTTTCATAATTTAGAAACCATTTTGAATGGGTTAGCCTGAGTATTTGGAAAGGCACCTGCAACAAATTCAGGTGTGTTCCATTCTCTTATTTCATGATTTCCCATAACACTTTTATGTCCTTTGGAATAAGAGAAGCTTGA